AGCTTCGCTGTGGCTCGTCCACGAGCACGTGAACCCCTACCCCTTCGTTGTGCACCGTAATTCTCCCAATATCGATCTTACCCAACCGTGATTTCGTCCGCGTTAGGTCCACCCCGGAACGACTGCAATCTTCGTAATGGAGAAAGAGGAATCCCGGTTCCGTCTTTCCACCGCCATGGACCAACGTCTTTTCTCCACGAGTAAATCGTCTCGAACGAGGGAAGATCGTTTCCCTGTTCGCTTTTCCGCACGCATCCAAGTTGTGTGCGCACGCGATATAAACGATTGGAAGGCGAGCCGAAAAGTTCTTACTTCGACGCACGAAGTGCTCGGTTACGCTGATATCCGTCAGATAGTCGGCATTTTTACGGGGGACTGTTGTCGAGGAATCGATTGAACTCATCGATAAAGAGGATATCTTAGAGACGAATGCACTCGGGTTAATTACGTCTGCACCGTGGCGTGACACCTGTCGCGGGGACGTCTCCGCTGTCGTCCACGAAATTTCTTCCTCTGGAAAGAGGCCTCTGTAAGAAGACACGGTCATGGAATTTAACTGTGATTAATGGAAGGAAGCGTGCCCGTTCGCGTTTTAATTGAGATATAAATTCATGGGCCCGCGACCGAAGCCACGGTCCAATTTCATTACGGAGGCTTAATGGGCGGACCACAGTGGTGCACGCGGCCGATAAAACCGTCGACGGTATCCACCGAACGATCTCTGCGTCTCTCTCTTTGGCTGAATCACGCTTGGCTATCTTTAATCCGTCTTTAATCAAGAGAAAAAACACAGGGGGGGGGGGACGAGGGACCGTCGGTGGATGAAATAAATTCCAGGCCGAGCCGCGATGACGAGAAATTCCAAGCGACGTTCGAAACAAATTCCTCGTTCCGCGTGTATTTTTATGCGCGATTCTTCCTGCATTCCCTGTCTATCCCTGTTCTTCTTGATAGTGAATTAGCATATATAGGTATATATCACTAGGCTCGTATGGATTTATACTCTGACGCTCTTAATCCCGCGGCGATTATCTTATCGCTGGACAAAAGTTGTTCGGAATGTTTTATATTGCGGCACATCGGTGTTTACCGTGCTTCACCGTGTACCCGTTGGCTTTCGTGCAATTTTTCATAGGGGGACCAAGATCGATCGATCTATCGATTGCGTACAAAATGTACTTAAACGGTATTAATTGTAATTAATCGTTAAGAGTAACAAGAGGTTCGTGTTTTTATTTGCACGTTGATTAATTCGGTCGGATATCGTCGCCTTGGGGCGATAGCGTGTATTTTATATAACTGTTTATCCGAGTGTATTTTGTTTTCCATTACTTTTTTTTTTTTTACATTAGTTATCACAATTCTCGAGATTGTAAGCTTTCAGAGCTTTGTTTTTCACGATCCACCTTGACGAACGAAGATATTTACTGCAGATAAAAACATATATTTGCACGCTCGGGTCTCGTGTGATAGTTATATTAAACACAGAGCTAAATATATACAGTGGTAAATGTTACCAATAGCATAATCTGAGAGTCCACAAAGTGATTTTAATCCCCGTCTATCGTTCAATAAACTCGATTAATTAAAATTGAGTTTTAAGAAGCATACAATTACTTATTTATGAAGGTGTGTAAAAAACATGTTCTTCCATTTGAAAAAATGAATTTCACCTTCATATGACTTCTACGCGTCCAACTATCCAAAAACAATTCACGTCAAATTGCTCCTCGATACCATGCAAGTTCGGCTTGACACATTTTTTTTCCTCTCACCAGTAACAGTCGAGATATTCAGGTGGCAGTTTTAGCTGTCTCACCCTGTTGGTGATCAACTGAATTTCTACATTTCTATATTAAAGAAAATTCATTTAAAAATGAAACATTGACTTCGAGTCAAACTGACCCAAACAGTGCACGAGGGTTAAAATCGGTGACTGCAATCACTTTCTTACCCATTGTATATCTTAGAAAGGTCTATCACATCGTTGTAACCAAGCTACAAGAAGCATTCGAAGCGTCTCCCTGGCGACCAGCTCGTCTTCTCGCTTCCCCGTTTACCGGGTCGCCTACCATCAGGCGACGACTATTCATCGACTGCGCATACGTCGCAGGGCATTAATTCAGCCCGATCTCGGGGACTCAAACAAAGATCCTCCCGTGATTAAGACCATCTATTGTTATCTAATCGGGTCGCTTCCCTAATCTCGTACTTTGTTCTCGATTGATGTAACCGCCGTTGCATAATAATCAGGTGAAGAGATACTCGGTAACCGTAAATTTGTTTTCCGTCGATCGAGCCTAGGATAACGATTATCGACGAATCCCAACCTTGAACCGTGATAAAATGACTTCAAGGCTTTCGTCGATCGTTTCAGAAACGGTTTTTCCACCGTTAGGAAACGTCTAGACGCGAGATAGACGACCCTGTCGCGAAAATGATTTTCGATCCGTTCCTTTATGGAGCCTTTCGATTTCCATAAATTGTCGTCCCTGATTCGCTCGGGTTAGACTTTCATATACGCTCTTTGCCGACTAAATTTTCAATCGTAAATGGACCGTTAGAGCGCGGGAACACTTTATGTCTCGCCGAGGGACCGAGTCGAGACCCAGGACCAGAGTCACCATTCGTAACACGTATTCGAAACCTTCTGAAATTATCATCTATCCGTCATTCGTGATCGTCGACGCGGTGTTAAATGAGGCGATCGGTAAATATCACCTTCGGAATTTCTTGTGCTGCTGGCGATTCCTAAACGCTCGATTGAACACGGAATTATTGAAGTATAGAGCGTTGATTTCTTACCACCTTTATGTACCAGTAATACAGGATTAATACTGGAACGATATCATGAAAGTCTATCAACGTTCGTCCCGTAATTTATAGACTACGAATTCTGCCCAGTAGAGGGATGTCTTCTTTGTCAGTCAGAGAAAGAGGCGCATTCATTATCTGGATAAAGATTTACGATTAAAACATTAAAAAGTACTCCGCTACTTTTAATCGATTAACCGTGGAAATTCCAATTTTTGTAATAATATCATACTTCTTTTAGAATGATTAAACATTTGCCAAACAAGTATTTAATTTCATTAACTGTTTAAAGATCAAGATGAAGCTTTGAAGAACTTCAACAGTCTCATAATAAAATAATACTTTTTGAACGAGTGAACACTTGACATAAAGCAAGATGAAGCTCTTTGATACATTAACAATTCTTATAGTAAAAAAGTACTTATCGAATGAGTGGACATTTGTTAAACAATTATTGAATTGTTTAAGATCTAAAATTGTTAAGATTAAAAACTGTTTAAAGATCACGATGAAGTTCTTAGATTTTGGTTGCTTTATACTATTCGAATAGAATCGCGTCCAACTCTACTTCATGCCCGATCCTCCGATTGAAATTCCATTCACGTCCGAAACGAGTCATGATTCATCCGAAAAGCTGTAACGTCCATATAACCAGTGGGCATACCGCATTGTCCGTGGAAGCATATTGAATCAACCGACGCGGAAGGAAGTTCTCTTTCGGCCGAAATTGTGCCACGAATTTCGCCACCCCTACATAGATCCTGCCTTCAAAAACTGACGATTCAGTTCTCCCACCCCTGGAGGGTCCTCGAGAACCGCTTGGGAACCGGTCGTAGCACGTGTCGGCAATCTTGTATCCCGTCGCGATTTTCTAAAAAACGTGAATGCCACGATATTAGGAAATGTGAACGCACCACAGGGAACAAACGGATGAAGACCGGCGGTTCTCCGTTTATTAAGTTTTTTCGTGAACCACTTACGTATCATGTAATATACACAAAAATACAACAAAATATTTCTTCGGTAATTTTTAAATAATTTAGGAATGAAAGGGTTGAACATAAGCGTACGAATTCGCTGGAGCTAGCTTTTTTTCCACCCTTCGATTCTTCCCCAGAACTTTTAATTGGCCAAACAACCGTCCGTTTTCCACGGATGATCCGCGAGGATCGGTAATTTATTCGAGCGTTTCGCGCGTATTCACCGCCGATGATCTCGTCTGTTTACTCTCGGGGGTTGGTTGGTTAGTTACGCGAGAAAAGTCACGTCTGCGGAGATTCGAACGCTATGATGGCGATTAAACCACCAACGATTTGGTTTTACTACGGTGGTGAGGCGCGCGAGTAACGCCAGAGAGCGACGAACGAGAGCTGCCTCGCGCAGAACCTGCCCGTACGGAACATTAACCCGTGACCGCGGCTCGATAATTTACCAGGCCTACCCTCCCCTTGATAAATGTAGCTGCAACCGGAGAGTGAGCTCGTTGTTACGGGAGGGAACGATACCGTTTTCCCGTTCAAAACGATCGACTGGCTTGTTAATATTAGATTACGCCCCGGGAAATATTTGCCTCCGGTTGGCCGTATGGAAAACGTGGGGGGGGGGTGGAGGGGGGACAAATTGCCGCGTGGTCGACGGTAATTAACGGTGCAGTTGGTAATACTTTGTCTAGTGTCGATTTATTACCGATAGCTCGACACACACAAGTAAAAACTAATAAGGACTCGATCTATCTTCGTCGAACACGTTATCAACATTGTGGCTCGAGACATGCACATTATCCTCGCAAGTGCACAGTTAATCTTATGGATCGCAAACTCTACCCTGACAGGGTACGTTTCTTTTTATTTCGGTCGAGTGTAAATTATTAACCATATTCCTGCGAAGGGTTGACTTAGTACGTAATATTTGGAAGTTCGACGTGGTCACCAGTATCGCGTGAGAATTAATTTCTTCGCCATTGTTCGAGCGACGGTCTTACTATTATGTAAGTTCCTCGCAAACATTCGCATTTGTTGGCTGCCAGATGTTCCAAGGAGAGTGGTAAATAATGCAAGACCTTCCGTGGAATAATAGGTACAATGAAGGCAAGGTCAATGAGATAGTATAACATTATGACAGGTTCTGAAGGTCGATGACTTTGTATAAAAAGTCCCGCATCGGGGAACTTTCATTAGAAGCGTTCTGAAAAATTCGCAAAAGCGCAACTGAAGCTGAAACTCGTCTCAGAAATCAAAGATGTCTCGCGTCGCTATTCTTCTTCTCTTCGTGGCTGTAGCCTTTATAAGCTGTGAGTATCGTCGGATGGAGTAGGTACCTTAGTGTTTTGCAGGGTTTTGATGAATTAGTACCATTTCTTATTTCTACGTTTATCAGTGAGCAACGCAGATCATGAATGCGGCAAAAACGAAGTATACAGTGAATGTGGAAGCAATTGTGAACCTAAATGTGGAGAGAAGGAGCCAACATACTGTCCTCAGGTTTGTCTCAGAAAAAAAACGAAAATATTTTGGTTGTTTGCTTCATTTTTGCAAATGAAATCTCACTATATCTTTTCCGCCGACTCTCGATTAAATTGGGTTTCTCTTAGTCTAGTTCCCGTTGTCAGGGGAAACAAAACTCTAAGCACGATGTTAATTAGTATCTGCCGAAACTCCTTCGTTAACTGCCATGAGCCGCTTTCGATTCTAGAACTAGAGAAGCCACACTGTGATCATTGATCTCTTTAATATTTCTGCAAGTTCGAACTTGGTCTTCTTTAGGTGTGCCTGGAGGGCCGCTGTCAATGTAAGGCGGGATACAAAAGGAACGCTGAAGGAGCATGTGTCTGGCCTAACAAGTGTCCATCCCCATAATATTATTTCTTAACCGTGTGATTTATTTATCAATGAAAATATTGTGATCCAGAAAATGGACAATAAATAGCGTTACTTTCTGCATTCATTCACGGTTCTTTTTATCTCTATCCGTTTCTTTGTCCGAGTACTGTCCGCCAATCGATCCATACGTACACTAAACGGAAATCTTATCAACGAGGACGTTATCGACCGATCACTCTTAACTTATCTGTGTCTAAAACGAGTACGTAGAACAAGTGATTCAACGTTCTTCCTTTCATAACACGCTGTTTCAGTATGAATGTGCTTCTCCAGGAAATTTGAAATACCACAGATACCGTATACTTACGATTAATAACTTAATTCACCTTGATATCGGTTTCAGTTTAACAAATCCGTCGAATATTGTAACGGAAGAAGATGTAGGAATTCGCAAGGAAGAAAACGACAGATGTCTTGCTTATAATTTTTATATTAAAGATATACAGTATACATCAGGCTTAACAAAAGTAAGCGATAAAACAGTTGTGTTAGATTTCATTTGTGTAGTGGTTACCACTAAGAATTAATCATGTTATACCGGCTCGAAGGAAGCATTCTACCGTGCATAACTGTCCCAGACGTTTTCTTGTCTTTTTTTCGTTTAAATTAAAATGAAATACCGCGATTGCGGAGTCTAACAGTTGCGCGTCAGAACGCATTCGTTGTCCTTATTCTTCACGTAGCCGGGTTTACACTGGCAGCCAATCACGCATCTCTGAAAAAAAGAGTCGAGCAATTATTAGCTAACTGAATTCTATATTAAGTCAATCGATAGTAATAACACGACTCGTGAAATCGTTCCTTCTTCATAAAGGATAATCTTGTTAGATGTTTAACAGCTGAAGAATTAACGATTGTTGAGTGAAAATTATAAAATCGAACTAACCAGTGTGCAGATCGGTTTGGCAGGCCCGTCACAGGTATCTTGGCAGGGCGATCCGCAAGCGTTGAACACAGCGTTAGGTCCACACTCCTGAGCAGCTTCCATGTCCTGGGGAAACGCGGCTGTAACAAACCGAGGAAAATATTAATTAACAGCCACCATAATTTTTTCATTTATTGTCACTTCATGACTATAGTCAAATTCTTCAAAGAAACATCTGAATCGATTGAACATCAGAAAATAGGTGTCAAACTTCTCTAGTTTTGATAAATATTTACTATTAACACCCCCACTGTTAAGTGAAATATTGCATGTTCGTCTCAATCCGTGAAGTGAATTTTCTACTATTAAACAGAAATAGTGTCTTTAACTTATGAATTTATGGTCTCAAGTGACCAACAGTCAAGGTTTAACTGTATAATTATATTAATTGTTCTATTTAAATTTTACTTTAAACAACAAATGCAAATTTTTGTTTGCTTAATGAAAAACAATGCAAGAAAGTGCCACTACTATACTCGACATAAACATCGAGAGGGTTAATGAATAGGATTGAATTAGAATGAATTCTATGATGAATGAGAACATAGGATCAATGATACTCTGTTTCTAGTGTACTTACTGGTGTAGGCAAGAGCCACGACGATGAAGAGAAGCACTACAGCGCGAGACATGTTTGTATGCGGAAGTGGTTATTTCGGCTGGTTATGTCGACTCTGAGTCTTCGGAAACGAATGATGGTCCCCCGACTTCGTCAGCTTATATACGATCTGTCCAGTTGACCATCGCACTCTGATGTCCCCTCTCGACGATACTCACTTTGATTTTTGCCACAACCCGCGCCCGCCACCGTTCCCGTCGATCCGCAATTTTGTATACCAGCTGATTCACATAGATAGATTATTGATTACGCTCGAAGACGACCGTTCGTTGATTATCTGATACGATACTTTGTTTTCACACCGCGCGTAGTAAGCACATATCGGTGAGATCGTCTGGATGTGATGCAAGTGAACCTCTAATCTGTGTTAAATCGTTCTTTTTTTTTATTTTATTGATACCAACGGAGCTCTCACTGAGAATTGTGCAGCTTTACGTGAGTTTTACATGACCAGTTCGTCAGTAATACCTAAATCTAGACATCACATTTTTCGAAGAAAAAATGAATATAAGAGCACGCGACAATATTCAGTTCCGAAAGTAGGGATCTAACTTTAAATGGGGGATACAGAATGTTAATTACATGACTTAGATCTTGCTTTTCAGCGTTACAATACTACACTTCCGGTTAGTTGTTATGTGTTGAATTTTTTTTAGGCTATTTAGAGTGTAAATTTTAGACTATCGTTCTGTCGGAACACCCGTTAATTTTGTGTCGAATAACATTTATCTTAGGCACTTCCCAGAAAATCTCTCGCGAGTTTACGCAACCGTCTCGTGTAACTCGTTAAACATGCTGTTTCGCGTTCCATTAGACCATCTCCGACAGGTCGTCATTCAATCTCGATGAAAAATAAAAGGATGCTCTATTGTAGAATTCCGTGCGAAACATGATATCTGTGTGCTTTAATGCACGGAGATATCGTTTCCCACGCGATTTTATCTCGCGTTTATCACAGATACCATAATCGATACTCGCTACGATCGAGCTTCCCTAATCTACGATTCCTCCGTGTTCATGTCACTATTCTATATCATTTATTCTGTCATACTCTCTGCAGATTTCTGGAGTTAATCGGAAACGTTGATTTCAGGAATAAAAACAGATGTTAACCCTTGGTTATTCTTAAATACTCGTGGACCAATTGGGTAATACCGAATGATAGAATGACATACGGTACTTTGATTTCCGTTCTTTTTTTCTGTGAAGATTACAGAGAAGTACCAGCAATTAAGTGAAAAGAAGCCAGGTTACGGTATCTCTGTCAGGATAACGGCCTTTGCCACCGATTTTGCAGTCAGACGCGGTGTTTGCCGCGTAATCTCGCTTCCGAGAAGACGCGTCGCCTCGGGGGTCCTAATTTTTGGTACTAATATACCCGCGGTTGCCGTCGTTTAAAAAGAATTAATTGTTCGACGCGAAGAAAACGCATAAACAAACCGATCGTTGGGTTACAGTCCAGGAAACACAAAATTCTCCCGAGGATCAGTGTTGTTTAAAACCCTTTCGATGTTTATGCAGAGTATACTCGTCACGAAAAGATGGCATTTGCTATTAAAAGTAGAATTCAGGTAAAAAAAATACATATTCGTAATTTCAACACATTTTAGAATATTTTAGGACAAAGGAAGAAAACAAACAGAAAAAATAAATAAATATCTATCCAGTATGTGTACAGTGACTCATGAGTGTGTTCACGAAAGACTATCTCCTTCATTTGACCAAATTATTTACCAAAATGCGAATTTTATTTCAAAATTAGGAACAATTGATTAGAGAAGGATGATACAAGTTATTGAGAGGGGTATATATAAATAGAAATTGGATAAAAATCTTGATACCTAATTGTTATTTTGGAAGACTGGGTTTGAATGTCTGAGTCACTGTACCCACGAGGGCTGTCTGATAAATAACTTTATTATTTTATTAAATTTTATATCAATTTTACAGCAAATGCATTTATTCCGCTTTTGTCGAGTATACTTGTCATAGCTTACAAAATGATTAAGCACACAAGTGCACGTTCTCAGAATGAAATAAGACACATAAAGGGTTAATGGATTATTTCCTTTGGGCGTGTCGGACGGACCCGTTTAACGGTCCTCATCTGGCCTTCTTTGTGCGGTGAGAAGAATAATTTAGTGGCTAACCCGTTTGTCCCCGAGTATGTAACGACAAAAAAAAATAGGAATTTCAATAGACGATGCTAAAGAAAGGACGAGGAACAGTGGTAACAGAAATCACAGGGATTTTCTGTTCGATAACCGATCGTTCGTCTTATGCAAATTATTATTACGAATCGTCCTCGAACCCGTTTACTCTTCTCTGTTTGGATTGTACAGAGATCTTCTCGGAACCCGAGAGAGTGTTTGCCAGAGAACGATAAATAGGTGGCGACCGGTACTCGTTCCTCAATAGTGATTTTTAATGGGTTGGTGGTCGATTGGATCGAAAAACAAAAGAAGAACAGAAAAAATGTCGATTGCTCCGAAGAATCGAGAAGCTCCGTCGTTCGATGGTATACATAAGATACTTCCTGGAAAATTTGCCCGTCCAAAACGAGAAATGAATCTCGATAATCTCAAGTATGTCCCGCGGTAAATACACTGCAGATCGTGATAATTACTAAAATCAACGACGGTTCGATTAGATAAATGCTGTTGCTGTTACAACCTGAGCGGAATTTTTCCCCGATGGGAGCTTAACCGTGGTAAATATTTTTCTAAAATTTTCGTCGGCAAACGGTGTCGCGTATACAATAAACAACCATGTCAGAGATAGTAGCGTTATCGATTTATATTTGGGACACTACGCCTCTTAACGAGGTCCCGATCGGACTGGGAGGTCGTGATCTCCGACACGACGATGAGATTCACTAAAACGAGCGTAACTGACCGCGTTTCAGTTAGGCATACATATATAAATATTTACGTATTCTCTGCTACATAGTAAACAGGGAATTAGGTTTTACTTTTTATTGTACTGATATCACATTTACATTTCTAACGGAGATTTCACCTAACTCGATAAATACTCGACGAAAAGACACTTATCATCGCCAGGCATCGCTTTGCAAGATCAGCTGAGAACTAAAATCGTCGTACATCAAACAGTGTTTTTCTGCTGTGGAAACTTCATAAGATCGGCGATGGACCATTCGCGTCCGTTCTTTATGTTATCGATTATGCAACCTATGATCGTCACGCAGTCGCCGTCGCTGTCTTTCAAGAAGCCCAACTTGCACTTGCAACCCGACTGACAATTCTGGAACAAGAGAAAAAGAAACGATCGAGCATGTTAAAAGGCACCGGCTCAATTTAGTCGAATCTTTTTCTTCTTACCGGTGGATTGTGACACACCAGAGGCAGGGGATGATCACAGGTTGGTATACATGCGATGCATTTCGTCGGCTCTTCGTTTCTGCCGCACACAATCCCAAGTTCTGAAGTCAGAGAAGTCGATCGAACGTTAAAACTCGTCGATTATCAATGTCGATATCAAGAAACTTACCGGTACTACTTCCTCCGTCAGCTGGAGCGGTTACAACTCTGTCCGACAGGACTGAAAAATTTAAGATTCTCTGTACTATACACACAATCTAAATCTTAATCTTAAAAAATTAAGATTCTCTGTACTATTCACTCTCGATTACGGTTCTCACAAGAATTTTAATTTTAGGTTTAATTATTTCTTAACGTTTAGACAGTTTGACTGTCCCTGTACCGATGATTTCCACTAGATAAAGAATACTGCGAGTGATTTTGAATTTCTAAACGAATTGTTCGTTCGAATAGAGTTCCACGGGGACACTTACGCGTTAACCAAAGGAACAGCACGACGAAGACCGTTTTCGCGCCGGTTTGATTCATCTTGCACAGATGGGAAAATATAACACGAAGCCAGTTTTAATGAGACACTAATGGGTCTTCCTTGTTGCAGCTCTTTATAATGAATAGCATCGACTGTTTAAAGAGATCGTAAATCATTTCCGACGACCGTAATCATTGTTCCAACTAACTGATCCGTATCTACATGTTCGTTCATTTGTGTGCTTGCATTTTTCAAGATAAAAACGCATCGACTCGAATACACCGGCTTCCTCTCCAATACAGTTGCATTCGATTGTTGACGAACGGCTTAATCGCTGCAGTTGGTTGTTCGTTTTTAAACGGAAATTTTTATGGACATGAAAATTTCTGCAAAGAAAGCTTCCTCAAAAAATGTAAATTTCTGTCGAATCACTCGAAAACTTTTCATTGTCTTATTTCTGAATGGTATCAATTCGTTCTTACGTATAGTTCCGTCTGTCATTCAATAAAATCGTGCACGAATACGCACGAACTCCTGAATACTTTCGCAAAATTCCTGCCAATCAGATCGTTACAATTCGCAGGAACGTGTTCCTCGTATTGGGTATCAAATGACAATGGTTATATGCCACTAATTAATTTATTTGCATTTTCGTACATTGCATTTGGAATAGTAATTGAAGTAGAAAGGGACATCTGGGAGCGTGTGATTATTATTGAAAGCAAGAAATAGGATAAACAACTGTTTGTGGTGTTGCTAAACAAATAGCTCTCTGTTTCCGGACGAGGTGTTAACACTCCTGTGGACTGACGCAAGCTCCGTTATTGTTCCTCAAGTATCCTGACTTACATTGGCAACCTATTATGCATTGCTGAAACGGAACAAAGAAATCAGGATTAAATAAATATACCTACACCAGAAATGAAAAAAAAAGTTCTCATTGCCGAGCTTAACTTTCGAATGGTAAGGTGGGTTTTAAGGTCGTACTTGGTATGCTTCAAACAGGTTAAAAAGTTATTATCCTGAACTTGTATTTTTGTTTATTCATATAGTAAACAAAAATATCAGAGTAATATAACACATAATGTTATAAGTGTTACACGTTTACTAAATAAAATAAAATATTTTAAAACGAGAATAATAAAAAATTGAGCAGGACCAGCACAGAGGATCTATAACTTGGGTCGGATACATCCTGGAGCTTACCATTAGAGGGTTAATCTGAATTAATTCTATAGATTATGTATGAAAGGTGTTGCTTTCGAATGTATGTCCCCTCTTCTTTTTTCTTTTTATCGAATATTATCTCTAATGTATGTTAGCGAATCAGCTCTCTATGATTCTACAAATACTCGTGACAGAAGAAATATGACATGATTAGCATCTGAGACTTTGAAGCTAGTTGTAGCGATAGTGAAATATTAAAGCAGTTGAATACTAACCGCCGTGCAGACTTGCTTTGGGGCTTGGCCACAGGCTGGTTCGCAGGCCGAACCACAGGCATTGTATTCCTCGTTTTGACCGCACTGTTGGCTGTGCGAACCTTGAACAAGATAAAATCGTTGCGTTATCCTTCATACGATACTTCCGTTTCACTCACGAATAAACCGACGTCGATGTTCGAGGAGGGATCAGAATCAGGATTTATCTTATGCAACGTGTTCACACAGAAATCCTACGAGCTTCACCTCCGAATAAACTGGAAGTGAGTTGCTTTCATATTCTACTCTCCGTGACAGATATTTTTAGCGAAAAGGATACATTTCAATAGCTATCGGTTTGCAGTTTTCGAGAATGATGACTAGACTGCGCAAGTTTATGCAAATTCATAAAATCTAAAAATTAAAATGGAGCAGAATTTTGAATTTTTTAATAGTATTAAACTGTTTTAAAATCTTTATTTTATTGCATTTCCAACGTTAAAAGGCGTTATAAATACATAAATATTCGGAATTTAATGATGACCGTGTCCACGTTAGAGAGCAACTTTTTCACGTAAATGTCAAATTTCTGTCCTCGAACCAGTTGAACTTTACCCGAAATGTTTTTTTACTCACTGGCAGAGAACACCGCCATAACGACGAGGAGAACGAGAACGATTCGCGACATTGTAGCTCGGTTGCCTGGACAGCTTACGATAGACAGTAAAACTCGTGGGAAGTAGTTGGCTTTATATAGTGCTGTTACGAATCACGATTCGTAATACGACTCTTGTTGCTTCTTTTCGTTGATCTACGTTCCGAGCTCATTTTCCTGGTCAGCCTCTCCTTTCATCCTTATCTCGCTTCTCGGTTGGACCCTGGCAATGGCGTCTGTAGTACATATATGGATGAAGCGGGCCGAGCGGTGAGCGGACGGAGGGCAGTGATGGGGAGAGTGAGGTGGGGGGGGGGGGGGGGGTAACGTAATACAGGTTATTATGTAGTTATAAAGGAGTAAAGGATTCATTTATTACAACGTCATTACGTATTAACGAGGAACTCATCGGAAGATTCTATCGACTAGTTTTCTGTTCAGTCTGTCGACCACGTTCTAGGACGCTCGATGGCGAGCCTCGGCTCGATTCTTGAAGCACTTTGTCCCCATTTTGGACGTTCTAGGGTGAAATATACTTTGACGAACAAGCAGAATATATTTTCAAGGGCTTAAGTACCGATGGAATTGTCGAAGAACTGATATTTAACAAAATTGAATCGTTTTTTTTTGCCTTTTAACGTCGATTAAAACTATTATAATTCGCGATAGTCAAGGTCTACTTGTAACTCGTTTAGTATGTATCTCGAAATTGCACTTTTAAAGTAGTAAAGTCATTATTAACCCATTAACGCCCACTGTTGCACCGGTGCAACGCTTATTTTAAAAGTTCGTCGAATTCTTTATTTTACCTTTCCTTAAAGCATTTTCGAACCCATTCCGAATGAAATTTTTCGTAGTAAATAATATTTCCGTCCTCCAATTGGCAACGATAACACTCAAGATGGTCGGTTTATACGGCTTCGCCCTGTATAAATACGATACGACGGAAAAGTTCTTCGGGATAAGCGTTTCCTTTCGAGTTTCCCCTGCTCGTCAACGCAGCGAATCCGCGCAGTAGCGGTCCGTCAATCACCGGGTATTGTGCAGCGCCGACAATTAGCGACTTTCTAGGTGGAACGCGCGAAAAGGTTCCAGCGAATTTCGCCCCATTGAATCCAGTCGGGGGGCGGAAATTTCAGAGACCAGCTGGATCACTTTGCCCGCCGATCGATCGATCCCAGTCGTTTCCCGAATCCGCGTTTGCTTTTACCTTAAATGCCATTTCACAGTCGGACAGCTTCCGACGAATCCCTCTTCGTCTGGCACTTTCCTGTGCATGCTTTTCTTTTTCCACCTTTTTTATTTAGCGAAACCCAGCAGTCGACAATTGAATATCCGACAGTCAAAATGCTATTTATTATTGAGCACTCAGGACCCACTTTCCCCTTTTCGTATCCTCTCATCTTTTCCAACGAATAATTCGTCTGGACGGATGGCAAGTGCTCTTACGGGGAGGATTCCTTTCACCGAGTACTTCTTTTTGATCGAATGACGTTCGCTCTTAAATGTATACGGTGTTTCGATATGGTGTATCGCTGACATAACCCTTATGACGTGAAGGTGGTTGGCACGTTCCAAGGTTCCTAGAATGGTCTCTGACTGGATGACGCCTATTTTGGGCGATTCATAGTTTTCCCTAATTGTGTTAACACTAGACTACCAAACCCGTCAAAAGGACAAATTTCTGGGATTCCTAGTTTTCCCTACTTCCCTTGACACTAGAACTACCAAACACATAAAAATTACAGATTGCAGATGATCACTTGATCATTTCAAGTGTGATCCTGATTACTTCATATTGACTTTTAATGTACTATACATTTTATGTTGTACTATTTAATTCAGTATACATTTAACGCTGGTAGTTCTATCGTTAATTCCTCCTCTTCTAACTATTCTGCCTAGACTTTCATAGCGAAAGTTAATCACTCGGAAAGCTCGAAACAGATCCAGCTGCCCGCGATCCTTTGCGACATTGTGCTGGCCGACCTATTCAGTGTTCCAAGGCGTCTGAATAACCCCTAAAGTCAACCCTGGTTCCTCGTCGCCGGCGACCAGCAGCCACTGACAGCGGAAAACTCGATTGGAAGTCCTCGAGAGAGAGAGAAAGATCACCACCCGCCTTCTCTCGGCCTCCCCCTTCTTCCTTCCGTCCTGGCCCACACCCTTCCTTGCTCTCCACTCTACTTTTCACCCCTCTGCAACGTCAAGTTACAGGAGGCGAGAGAAGCGTGGCTCCTTTGTGCCGATGAAGGGCCACGATTTCAGTCCTCCCTCCACCCCCTGGGGGTGAAACGCCCTGACACACTGACCCGATATTAACGCGTCCAATCAGACCCTTTCGACTTCGAGGAACGCTAAACGTTTCCTGTTTTTGAAGGGCGTCCGACGTCTCGCGAACAACGTTAAATCGTTCGTCATAGATCGACGCATTTGATAAATAATCGGTGACCTTAACCGTTTGAGCGCGATTCGTCGATATACCGACGATCACTAATTACTCCAAATATGCGGCGCGTCGCTATATCGACGATTACATCAGTGTGCATTTGGCAAATACTTACTCGCATGTATTAAAAAAAAAAAAAAAGGTTAGCACTCAAACGGTTAAACGATACTGCAGTTCGATAATACAATATATTATTACGATAAGATAATATGCACAACGAACCAGGTATACAGGGTGTTGAAGAAAAAGGATATAAGACTTCAGATGCATATCGTATACTCACCGAGTGTAGTAAAAAGGTCTAATCAACATGGATGTTTAGACAATTTCTCAATTTTTTATATCCTTGGGTCAGTATAATAGTCGGTGGCTTCGGAGGATAAATGGGTTGTGGTAAAACATTCGTAAAAATTATAATTATATTTTAGTGGGTATATATTGTCTATCATATGGCACAAATGACTTACACACGACAAGTTAAAGTGGTCTAAATCTAGGCAATGGTCCAAATTCGGCAACTTTTTCCCCTTATTAAGAAATCAGTCCACGAGCGTGGTCCGTCGAGAGAGTCTTTTCTCGTCGTCGAACGGAGTTCACAGATAATCAGCGACTCGCGGAGAGACACAGGAATTTCCCACGTCAGGCATCATCGAGCACAACGTCTGCAGAATCAGCGTGTGTAACAAAATTCCCGAGGACCTTTAACGTGGCCGCATTTCCGCCTTATCGCGATCGTATTTCTCGTCAATGACAGTAGACGTCAATACTTTCACGAGTAATTAATAAATCAAATTACACAGCAATGTTCAACTTGCAAAGTAATTTTTTTTGTCCAATTTTTGAGATAAATCGACCACTGTGTGCCCTACTATGGCCAGTGTCGGAGAGAATCGGGCTGTCCCCAAAAGCTGATACGCTTTTCGTCCCGGTGGATGCGTTCGAAAGCGCGGTCGGTTTGAGAGTCGCTTTTAATTATCGCACCCTCGTCCTTTCGGCTGCGAGGCGTTATTAAGCGCGGTCTTTAATAGAAGCGGCTGCTGAACGAGCCATGCCGAAACGAGGGAATCAACGAAAGGACGCAAAATAGCCAGGACGACGAGACAGCATCTTGCCCTGGCGAATCCTCTGGCGAACCGTCGAATATCATCGAGATCTCGACGGGAAACTACCGTTGTCGTACCAACTTTTTAAATATTTTTCTCATAGTATTAGTCATTCGAGTACTTTCTGATATTTATTGCAAACCTGGCAAATCAATCGTCAACGGTAAACGTACCAAATTCCTCCATGTGTGATGGACAACTCAAGACAACTGAATACAGCCAGATTAGGTCGATCGAGATCTTTTCTTTTTCATTATTCTTAACCAAAGTGTTGAGGAACTACCTTTCTTGTACTGATAACGGTCGAGAATTTGGAAAGGAATCGCTATCGCTGAAAATAACAAAGAATACGTGTCGTTATCGTGTTTGCATTACGAAGAATATAGTATTGTAATTTTCGATAATCAGTCTTTTCGTTCCAAAGTGAACGTGTAATATCGGGTGTTCACCGGTTCTAAGTACGCAGTTAGTCGGTACTCGCGATCATAAACATATATAAAATGAAGGAACGAGGAGAAAGGGGAATCACACAAATGGTACGTGACCTTGCGTCAGGTCTGACATATTTGTTCAACTGAGACGATCCGAACAGCATTAATGCGACTGTATATAAACCGGTCTATTGGCTCCTGTTGCCTCAGTTTAGAACCGACCGAGGCTACCCGTGTACACCGCCAAGATGCAGCGATTAATTTTCGCGTTGTTCGTCGTCCTGTCGATACTGTCATCGTGTAAGTTTTCCATTGTCGCAAGGTTGTTATGGAAGTGAATCAATTGTTTTTCATCGTTTTCGAAGTTTTCGTGGGCTTGAGTGAACCTTGTTGCCTGCAAAAACAACGTCAATAGATCAGATAATAGACATATCCATATTCCGATTAGCGGTATTTTTAACTTGAATGGTATTTTTAGTTACGTCCGCCAGTAAACTGATCTGCAACCGGCCACACGAGTTCTACGATTGTGGATCCGCGTGCCAGACCACTTGTGCGACTCTAAACCAGCCGTGCCCTATTATAAATATTGTGAGTTTCCTGACAGAAGAATTCGAGATGAATGGAAAACAGCAGAGCATCACGATTCCTCGTTGAATTTCTGTTTTCAGAGGTGCAACGACGACTGTTACTGCAAGAAAGGCTACGCGAGAGACTGCAGAGATGTGTGCATCCCCATTTCTAAGTGTCCTGGTAAAGGATGCAGGCCGAGAAAGCCCTGCGAAGGATAATCGCAGCAGTGAACGATCGATTCGTCGAGATGGTTAACCATATAACAGCTTGAGGATCTTTTCTCGTCAGTCTTAAGAAAATACAGATAACACTGTACGCCTGACATTTGCGTTGAGTTTTTCTTGTTTAAAAACACACACTTCCGTGTTGATCGAGTGCGCAATTCGCGTGATCCGCGATCTATACGAGTCAGCATCGACGTTATTACGCAGCGAACGGAAACGATAAGACAGATTGCTTATGCAGTTAAAACTATTAATTTTCTGACGTATGTGTTCGGTTGGCCAGACATTTCGTGAGATGTTTCGCGATATTTGTCTTCAGGCGATCTAAAACTACCTTTAATGCTCAAATTTCGAAAGCACATGGTTTTATTCAGAAAGAGGAAACTATTATTTTATAAAGACTTCATGGAAATAACGTGTCAAAACTGATAAGAAAAGAACTCTTATTTTAGTGTACGTGTTATACGGTGACTCACGTGCTCGTTCATATATTTTCCAAGTTGGAATTAATTTTTATACAATTACAATTTATGTATCCTCGTGATTTCGACTTTTATCATCGTTTCGTTCTTCTTAATTTTCAAGTAAGATTCCTGGTTTGGTATGTAATCTGGTGAAATAAATATGGCAGCCTTCCGTGAACAAATTTATGAGTCACTGTACATGGCAGTGTCTTTTTAACCAAAGGAATCGATCTTCTGACGAATCGAATTAAATAAACACTTATACTCGAGTGCATTAAAGAATATTCATCCGAACGGAACCGTCCCGTAACTCGTCTCTGAACGGTTAGTTATAAACGAACCATCAGGTAGGAGGGTTTGTTCGGCTGCTGACGAGCCAGACTTCGCGGCACGAAAAGCCCAGAACGGGTACGCGCGAGCAATCGGAAAGTCAAACAGCTTGACCGGGGCGGTACCCGGGCGCAGAAGAGGTGCTCCAATATTTGGATCCCTAATGTAATCCACAGAGAAGTCGAAAGTGCTGAGGCCTTCCTATCGTTCCAACCCGATTTCCTCTTCTCCCTCCCCCTGGGAGACCGTGCTCGGCCTTCCGGAACATCGCGAGATTACGATGGACCTGTTTCTCTCTCTCTCTTTCTCTCGAAAGAGACGGGGAGAGTGAAGGAGGAGAAAAAAAAACTTTTCTGATAAGGTCACCGGCGATAAAAGTTTATCGCATCGCGACTCGGCTTTGCCCGTCCGAATCTCCGTATCCGGACGCCTCGCGAAGGGTTATCTGCCTCGACTTTTCGCGTTCGGTCCTCTCCACTGTGTCACGAGTGAATTCCGTCTGTCGAAATACCCTAACTCTCCTCTGTATTTAATACCAATTCATCGACCTAATGGTGTGTGTTCGATAAAGAACATAACAGGAATGATATTATATATATTATTCTTGGCAGATCGTGTGACTCATGTATTCGACATTGGTCTCACACAGAGATGGGCAAATTCATCATCTAGATAGAGTTTCGAGGAACGAATAACAGATTAAAAAATACATCGTTTTTTTTCACCGATTAAACATGGAAATTCCAATTTTTTTAAATAAAATTGTACTTCTTTTCGAATGCGTATACACTTGGCAAACAATCGTTTAATCTCATTAATTGTTTCAAGGTTAGGATAACGTTGTTAGATACTGCTGATTTTCACTACACATCGCATCCCCGAAAAGTGTCACAAGTAAAAATTCCTCAATTTTCTACCAACACATAGTTCCACCAGAAAAATGTTACAAGTCCAATACTTCAAGCGATGCAGTGATATACTGTCACTTCGTTCAATATAAGAAGTGCAACGCGAATGAATCAGTTTCTTTTCCCCTGAAAAATTACACGTTCTCGACTTGACACATTTCTATCACTGGTGCGACATGTATTATTCGACTACTATTGTGTTCGGTTACGTACGAACGATCGTTCGATGCAGAAACACAACAGCAAGATTTCCTTTCGTAAAATGGCTGACCCAGCTCCCCCAAAACGATCCATCGGGCAATTAGAAATTCCAGTCGCGTGCGTGCTCGCGATTGCACGCGCGCGATGTGTCCCCAACACACGCGTGTCTGTCCGTGCGTATGCACACACACATAAAAACACACGAAGATAACACACGACTGTGCGACGACGACGCAGAAGCGCGCCGACCAGCAGTTCTCCACTCGAATTTCGCATGCTGCACGACACGTGCGCAGTCTACCCCCTGATTCTCCCTCGCGTGGAGGACAGAGAAGAACTCGGTCGGGTACCGCGGGGGTTGGAAAAGAGAGCCACCTATCGCCCCGAGGGGTTGCTCGCGCGTTCCTACCGGGGGCATTTGTTTAATTGGAAACCGACATGGCCGCCGAAGGGGGGGTGGGCCACCCCATGCACGCGCTTCTCGCCCGCCCCATCTGCACGACCGCATCGTCCTGAAAATGCGCGGTACTCTCCGCACGTGCGCGATTTTTCCACCCTGTGACCTTGATCCTTTTTTTCTCTCCCTCTGTCCTCCCCCTTTTTCATCCCTTCGTGTTTCCGACGACGTCGCGCACGCACGCGAAATTCCGTTCTACCGATCGACACGTCTGGTCGCTACTGACGCGTTATGATTTGTTGCAGAATAATGATTAGATCGTGTGTAGTTCGATGATGGCTTGATCTTGTGAGTACTTCAGTGATCGTGTTCGTTGTAGCTTCGTTTGGAATATTGAACAATCATTGCGATAATTCGATTGAAATAATTCAGTTAAATAGAAGTGACAGCGAGCCACTGTATATGCCATCTATTTCATTTTTACTCGGATAAAAATACGGCGAGGAAATTCCGTCAAACTCGTGTGTACTATTATACATTGTCCATAGTTCGTGTCGACTGCACTCGTTGGACGAATTAACGCATCCATAGCACCCGAAAGGGTTGAATTCCGGCGGAAACGTTTCAGTCCTCCCGATCGCGGTCTCGCGAGACAGATTATGCAGATTCCTCGGAAGATGGTCGTGGAAATTTCGCGGGCCGAGCCCTTGGAGCGTAACGAAAGGCCAGATTACACCCTTTGTTAGTTCGCTTGTCGTGCAAGCTGTTATCGGAAGACAGGGAGAGAGAGAGAGAAAGAGAGGGTTTTCGAGAGGGGACGACCGCGAAATTTTCAACAGGCAACATGGCCACCCTGGATCAACCCCTGCTCGCTCCAAATCCGATGCGAAGTTTCGCCCGCAGCTCCGTTGCGCGGGGGTGAAAGCAGGGGTTGGGCCCGTATTCGGTGCGCGTTTTACGCACTGCGTATATCATTATCGCGAGTTCATTTCTGCTCGGTTACCCCATCGATGCGGACTAAACGCCGGATCAAAGTAACATTCCGTCGTGAAAACGACGTCGACTGTAATTCGGTCTTTGCGGGATTTCGTACGTATGAAGAAGAGGGTTAAAGGTGGGGGATGACGACCACCTTTGTTCGCGCCGCTATAAAATATACGAGCGTTTCCTGGGAGGTGGTAGGGAGCATATGGCGGGAGAAGGTATAGAACTATTTCATTTACTGCTACTGTTTGGGGCACGTTATTCTTTCGTAGAAGGTGAAAGACTCTCGAAAGAGAGGGGAACGCGTTTTTGTGCTCGTGTCTCTGAGGTAAATTCGATGGGAGTTTCCCATATACAGGGTTCACCTTAACACGCGGTCCGTATTTTTGGGGATAAGTGTTTGGAATTTAATGGCAATGAAACGGTCGTAACTTGTGGACGATATATCGCCGATTGATATCAACATGACTGTTCACTCGTCCAGATTAATTCAGGGAATATTTATTTTTATTTATTTATTTATTAAAGGGATAAATACCCTTTAGCACAAAATTATAATAAGAGAAGAACGTACATAAAAACGAATGGAATTGATTGTAAACATTTAATTTATTGAGAGAATTACCACCAGAATCTCTGTGTGCAGATCTCTTAGAGAACCGCATGTAGATCCGGTACATTCACCAAACAGAAGGAATCACTTTCAGTCCTCCCTCTCGAACTTTTTACCGTCCATGATGTATACACACTCGCGCCAAACAAGCTGAGCTTTCAGCCGCGAGCGTATCAGGAATTTCTCAAGCGGATCTCCATAGAGTAGGAAAGGCAGGCCGCGGTTAAATCTCCATGTGTGAATACTTCTCGGCCGCCAAATGAATGTCATTTTTCTCACGGAAACCCACCGCCACCATTATCGATATCATTCACACGGGCTTCTTTCCACGGTGGCCAGCAAACAAACGTCGAACGATTCCTCGCGGCCGAGGTCCACTTTACAGAGGGTGAATTCTCTTAACGCACCCTTTTCCACCTTCTTTGAATCCTCTTAACGTCCCCCCGGGGGGACGAGGGGCAAATAAGAGTGTCTTCCGGTCGATCGATTCCTCTTGGAACCTGGTTCGTTCATTTTCACCTATATTTCATTCAACTGTCACATCTGTTCGGGACTTTGGAATGGAACGATGCGATACGTCCAAACACTCATCGATGATTTAGCGCAGTATCAAAAAAGTGACTGTTCTATTATCCAAAAGTTCCCTTATCCGAACACTTACGCCCTCCTGATAGTTTAGACACGGGAGGCTGATTCTACTGTACCTATTTAGAAACGGTTTTCATCATTTCATCGATCATTCCGTTATCTTTTTGCGATCCAACGAAGAGCTAACCTCGACCAGTCCAGTACATTCTGCACGATGCATAGACCCGTGAAAACTCTATCGACGAGGCGTGTTAACTACCTGCTGGTCGCCGCATTCGCATGGAACGGATGCAAAAGGCTGTATGCAGGCTGCAACTGCAGCTGACCAGGTTGAGTCACCGGCTGTGCCCCCGGTGGAATTACGATAAAGGGTGTCCATCCGTGACTCGTTGGTAACAGGTACTACGTGACGGTGAAACGAGGAGACAGCCAGGGGAATCGATCGTTTCACGAAAACTCGCTCCCCCCTGCCTCGTTACCACGGTAATTATGGAATGAAAACCGAGAAGCCACGTCGATGATGATTCGTATCGGTGTTCGCCAGGGGCCTAATAGAAATCTCGGTCGTTTCTTTGCGCAACGATCATCCCCTAGCTACTAGCCCCCTGTCAAC